CAAAATATTATAAGAAACCCCGGGGGTGTGTCTCCACCTACCAAGGAAATTGAAGGAGGTTTGCACTCCACCCCACAAACCCCCGAGTTTGTGGTGGGGGGGGGGGGGGATTCTGGGAGTTGAAGTCCACCCCTCTTAAAGTTGCTGAGGTTGAGAAACACTGCCCTAGGGTTTTCAAAGATTTCCAGGCTATGGAATCTGTTTGCTCAAAACTAAATAAAAATCGTAGTCTCCCTGATCAAGAGAGGTGGGTTTTCTGCATATCAGACGACAAACTTACTTATTCAATTTGTAGAGTTGCCCATCTCACATACATGACCCCGGACAGCTCGCAACAATTATAAACAACATCAAGAGCAAGAAACAAAGACCAAGGAAAGCAAACATACACCCCATCCTAAAAACATTCTTAAAAACCAGATTAAACACAGAAACATAACCATAATCACTGGCAGAGGACAATCCGTAGATCACACGCAGGGCAACCACTGAATAGGCTCCACGCTACAGCCAGATCCCCAAGCACGGTGGAACAGCAACATCTTCAGAGCCATGGAGGCGAATGTGTCTTCAGAGCCCCCTGAAAGGCCAGTAGGATCGGGGCTAATCTAACCTCAGAGGGGATGAAGTTCCTAACGATGGGCACCCCAAAAGAAAAGACTCTTCCTGGGTCCCATCAGACGACACTCACCCTTTTCACTGCACCTTAGTGACACTAAGGGACAAAAATCTCTACATGGGATTAAAAGAAAACTCCCCATAAAGAGTAAGGGGAAACAAGAGAGCCAGTTTGGTGTGATGGCTCAGGTGCTGGCCTAGGAACGGGGAGACTGTGAGTTCTAGGCCTTCCTTAGGCATGAACGCCAGTCGGGTGATTTTGGGCCGGACGCCCTTTCTCAGCCCAACCCACCTCACAGGGCTATTGTGGCAGGGAAAATAGAAGCAGGGCTATTAGGTATCTTCACCACCTTGAATTATATATAAAAAAGGCAGGATAAAAAACTTAATAACGGCAACTCTCTGCAAGGGACTATGCTTTTCCTTCCCCCTTACTTTCTTTGTAGGGAATTTCTTTTCCCCCATTAGGCCTGTGGGGCCCATTCAAGTCCTCAAGGAACCCCAGGGATCCACAGAACCCACTCTGAAAAGCCCCACTCTAGACAGCTAAAGCTTTCAAGATAGAGCCATCAGGCAATTGCTTGTCGCTTCTCTTTGTGCTTTACATCCTTGTTCCAGCCTTACTTGGACACCAGCTTCTTTACAAGCCTCGATGACTGCCTTGGTCCCCAAATAATTGACCCTGTAGAAAAGTTCTCGATTGTTGCTAGAAGGTGCAGGCGAGGCACAATGAAACACCAGGCTCACGCCTTGCAAAGCTGGAAGAAGATCCTAGGAGGGAGAAGACATATAGTCATAGAACTGCATCAGTCCTCTGAGTGAGGCCATCTCCACTTGATGGCTATGCAATTTCTGCTTGAAGACCTCCAGATAGTCAAGAAGCAAGAACGGTGGTGAATCTGGAATTGAGTCTAACATGGCAGTTGTATCCAAGAAGCGAGCTAAAGGAGAAATGTCTGTTATGCAGAGACTCTTAGATCTTAAGACAGTGTTTCTCAACCTTGACAACTTCAAGATGTGTGGACTTCAACTCCCAGAATTCCCCAGCCAGCATGTGTTGAACATGTCTTGACCCGGGTGCCTCTCCTGTGGTGACCACATGAAACCACAGAGTTCTCAGCAATGGCCATACCAGCTAGGGAATTCTGGGAAAGAAACTCCATGCATTTGGACAGGACCCACCCAGATCAGGGAAGGATGATACAAACCAACCCACGAGCCCAGAGAACCATTTATACTCCCAAACAGCCTTCACCAGCTCCAGTCAGAGAGCTTAAGGCCCACAAACTTCACATTGACCATACCTAAGCCATCTCAGTCTAACTTAGTTTGTCCCTTACCTCTTTCTCACAGAGATTGCCCAGAAAAAACTGCACCTTGCTGTTATCAAAGCCTTTGCGAATGTCAAACACGTTGACCGAGTAGTCTTTTTCCACCAGCCGCTCCACGAGGTGTTGACCAAGGAATCCAGAGCCGCCGATCACGGTGCACTTCTTACCAGCCTGCGGGAAGCAGATGCAAACAGATCCCAGTCAGTGCTTTTCCAAACATGTCGTGATTGGCTCTTGGGAGCAGAGAAAGGCACAAGAAAGAACTCGTGCCAGTAACAGTCACAGCAGAAAAGAAAACCTCAGTGCAGTGGTATATCCTTGTCTCAACCGCCTTTGGAGCTGTTCGTGAATAAAATGCCTCTGTCAAAACAAGCGTGTTACGTTCAGGAGAAATGCAACTTCCTTCTCGCAGAACAAGGTGGGAGTTATTGCAGGGCTAGCTCAGAATACAGGTTTCCCAGTGAAATCCTACAAGTCCCAGCCAAGTAAAGCACAGATTTAGATCAAGGAGGGACTAGTTCAGGGTTCCTCAACCTTAGCAACTTTAAGATGTGTGGGCTTCAGCTCCCAGAATTCCCCAGCCAGCAAGCTCAATTGAGATGCGTGGGCTTCAGCTCCCAGAGTTCCCCAGCCAGCAAGCTCGACTGAGGCGCGTGGGCTTCAGCTCCCAGAGTTCCCCAGCCAGCAAGCTCGACTGAGATGCGTGGACTTCAGCTCCCAGAGTTCCCCAGCTGGCAAGCTGGCTGGGG